ATTACATTAATTAATAAATTAACAAAAATAAAATAGGAATATTTAAGTTTTCAATGACTTTTATTTTTTTCGATTATACAATTTATTGATAAATAATTGTTTAATAGCAGTAAATATTTAATGGTCTTGATTATACTGCAAATTATGTACTGATGTTATTTCTTTTTACAATAGACTAATTCAAATGTATTAATGTTATTTCTATTTTGTCTTGTTCAACAGTAGGACTTTATGATCTTACAGCAAGAGCCTGAAGATCTTTAATACATTGTTGCAAATTGGCCTTTTCCTGTTCTGGTGTAATAGATTTTAACACACCATTAATAATCCATTGTACCATATGTTTTTGAGCCAGTCTGCGTTCTACAGAGTCTATTTGAGCATTGAAATCAAGACGTTTCTTAACCTGTAAAAAATACAACATACAATTGTATATAAAAATATAATTACATCTATAAGTTTAAACTTTCAGTAGTTTTTATTCCTTTCATATAGAAGCATATTACCTCGCTATAAACTTGCATCATTCGTTCTCTATAAACAGCTTCCAACTGCATAAAAATATTTTCTTTCTTAATATCGAAAATCATTTTCTGCCCCTCAGCCTGTAGTTTTTGAAGTTCATAATGTTTTATGGTATCCTCATATTCTGCAATTTCTTCCAATCTCCCAGCATTTGCAGTTTCTTCTACTTTATCGATTTCTTTATCCAACATATTTGCCACAGTGGGGCCAAATTTCTTTACAGCATAAACACAAATTGTAATTAGAGAGAGTGCATTGTAGAATTCATGTTCCAGAACATACCACTCTTTAGATAGTAAGTATGTTCCCAAAGCACCCGCAAATATGTATGGACCTAAATAAAAAATATAACTAATTATTCACAAATTCATGAATGTATGAACTTAAGTTCGAGAAACGAACCGTGATGCTTTTATAATCCCAAATTATAATATATTATAAAATTGGGTTTTCGAGATACGAACTTTGGACTGGAACAAATTAAGTTCGTAAGTCGAGGTACCACTGTACTTTCTACTAATTTTCTATGCAATGTGAACCAGAAAGTTCTTTTAATGAAAACATGTAAAAAATTCTATATTTAAAAAAAAATAAAAATATGTATATTATATAAGTCATTAAATTACCTGATACTCCAGTTTTAGGGTAGAAAAATGTGAACCACTCTTCTGGAATAAACCCATACTTCACTGGAGATGGATTTATCGGACGTTTTTGACGTGGTATATCACTCAATGCTGGTGCTGAAGTTGTAATTCCTCGAACAGCCACAGAGACTAGCTGGGCTTTAAAATAAAATGGAAAATAAAGAGAATTTTTCGGAAAGTCTATATAATATGTTATAAGGTAACAAATAAAATCATGTTTAACTATAACAGACGATTACTTAATAATTATTTACAAACAATTATTTTATGTAAGCAAGGTATTTTATAAATGTGAAAATCTCATAATCCACGACTGCGCGGCTATTTTTTTAAGCCAAATATCGAAGAAGTAACACTATATTATTACATAATGGGAAATAATCGATATGATTTTGACAATGACAGTTGCAATATATCATTAACAAATCTACTACTAACAGCGCATAAGATTTTGTTAATAATAAATTTGCTTTTCATTTCATTTTGAATTTTAACTTACCATTACGAAAAGCTAATCTTGACAACATCTTTCTCTCCGTAGCACTTCGTACCTCGCTCTGAATAAAAGAATGTACATGAAGTTAGTCGCAAGGTTAGTCTCCTTAAAATACGTAACATGTAGACTGTGAATATGTAAGTACAAATAGTCGATATCATGCACATAGAAATATAAAAATGAATTGTAAGCTTAGCTTTTAAAGGAAGATCCCTAAATTTAATTGAATGTTCGTTTATGTATGCTCTGTAACACTAATTATAAAAAAGTATGAATCACAATTTTAATACTGTTGTAAGTTATAGGGACATTCACCTTTTTCAGATAAGTAAATTAATTTTATGAAACTGTTTTACTTTATCAGGAGATTCGAAATATAGGAAAGTTATGACAACTTAAATTTTTATTATTATGAAAATTACATAAAAAATTTCCAATGCGTACTCTTGGAAAGTAAATTTTTCAGCTTTATAGGATTGGTCGAAAGGGTTACATACGCGTGTCAAGCGCATGCACAGCCAAAGCTTCCTCTTGTTCCTATGCCGTTCCGCCCGCCATCTCTTCAACAACAGTAGTTAATACAATGTAAATATTGAATTCATGTTTTTAAATGCATTCTAGTGACACACTATTTACTTTGAAATAACTAGAAAATTTTGAATTATATTTAGTTGAATATCTATTTCTATAACTGTACTGTGATACGATATAAAATATGGCGGTAATCCCGCCAGAAATAGGATCAGTCGTATCTAAGAGTATTCGCACATGAACGTTGTTTGTAGTTTATGTATTATTTTGTAAAGTAGAAAGTGAAATCTAAGGTGAGTAAGATGTAAATTAATATTTAGTTTAAAATTTAACATATGTTTTATATGTTTTGTAACGCTTTATTATTATATTTTAATAATATAATAACAGATACAATTTTACTGACATGAAAACAGAAAAAGCGTCTGTAATAACAAATTAGAAACTTAAACATATTTTTATACTGGAAAATAACCTCCCTCTTTCATGCTGAAATACTTATAACTATGTAATATAATGCGAGTATATAAATCAAATGATTATATTTGCATTTCCACTATGAATATTATTTATTTCCATGATTAATCTTAAAAAATTCAATACTTTATAACAAAATTGTATATATTTACTTTCTGTATTCGGTAGAAAATAAATTTAAATTACTTAAAATAATCTTAAATATACATTGCACGCACATTTTCTATATAAACTGGTGAGCCATGCAAACGAAATACTGTATTTAATGTAAATACACTGTATGATACACATTTGGGAAGGATATTCCTATAAATAAGTAAAATATTTTAATCTTTTCTTGACCTTCACTTACTTTATTTATGATTATTATTACTTCTTTAACTTTCATTTATGTATGAAAAATTTAATTTTTATATTTATAATTTTAATTTATCGTTATTTTTTGTAGTCGTTATACAAACTAATATTGTATTTATTGAAAAGTAATATTGTTTATTATATTATTTGTGTTTTAAACAACTTAATAGAAAACTTACAAAAATGGGCGACAATCAAGACTCAGAAGGAAAAGGAAAAGGAAGAGGAAATGTTATCTTACAAATGATAAAGAACAAAGAAAAAGCTGATGCAGAGAGTTCAGCAGCCACCAGTACACCTGTAGTTCAACATGAAACAAGGAATATGCCACAAACCATTAACTTTTCTACGATGGGAAGAGGAAGAGCCAGTTTATTAGATATGGTTAAAACAAAAACATTAGAGTCTTCAAGCACTAAACCACAAATTATTCCTGGTCAAGGTAGAGGGTCTATACTTAGCCAAATTAAACATAGGTATGTAAATCTTATGCAAAATGCTATGTTTGGTTTATTTATTATGTTTCAAATGTTTAAAAATTATATGAATAACATATCACATGAAACAATTGCAAGGAAGACACAGCCCATGGTAAGGGTATAAAAAAAGTAACCATGGTTACGAATGTGTTAATCTTTATGGTGCCATGAACCAATATATTACATAATATCTGAAGATACCAAAATGTCGTCTCTAATAAAAGGGCTTTCCTCCAGTTTTACAACAGACTTACAAAATCTCAACTTATTGCGTAAAGATTATTATATTTATAGAATGCTTGTAAAAAACTTGAAAAGTGAGTAAAATTTTGTTCATAATTTTCTCATAGTAAACTATACCATATGCATTAAGATATTCAGCACCAAAAGGGTTAAATAAATCATTATTTTATATACTTTACTATATTCAATGAATTTTTGAAATTACAGAAGAAGGAATAGAAAGACCTAATTTATGAATAATTGAAAATAATTAATATATTATGTAAATGTACATATACTAAGATTACACACTACTATGCATAAGTATTTGGACACTTAATATGAACTCATTAAAATGTTTATGTCTTTAATATTATTACTTATAATTAATATCAGCATCAACACTATAATAAGTGATTTTAATGAAAAGAATTACTTTAGTAGCAATGCAAAAGTGTCAAAATACTTATGTTTGGCAATCTAAATACATAGTTTTTTTATATGTGTATAAAATTTTCTATTTTGTAAAAAACAAAAAGATTATGTACTTAATATTTTACACAAAAATATATTCCAAATGGATCAACGTATATTTTTATAGTTTGAGTGCACAACCGTTTGAACGGTCAAATATTCCTGCACCATCTGATGATACTGCAGGAGTATTAGGTAAATTATCAGATATGACACTAGACAGTTGCAATACATCTAGTGCATCATTCCAAAAACCTAAATTGATTCCTCAACAGGGAACTGGGGGAAAACCGTAAGTTAATATTTCAGAATAATTTTTATAACATTAATTAAATTGCATTAAATAAAATAAATTACAAATTAATAATAAACATTCAGGGTGCAGTTAAGTGCAAATTATATAAACCTCAAATTGGATGCTGGGAAAGGATTATTCAATTATGAAGTTAAGTTTAATCCTGATATAGACTCTAGACCTCTTCGCAGAAAACTTCTTAATCAACATTTACAAGCTCTTGGACGAACCAGAGTATTTGACGGCGTTATGCTCTATTTACCTCAGAAATTACAGCAAGACGTGAGTGAAAATAATAGCGAATAATAAATATAAATAAATATATATTTGTATGACATGTGATTTTCAGATTACCATTTTCAAATCTACACATCCTTTGGATGGGACATCAATAATATTGACTGTAATATATAAAAAAGAACAAAGTATGACGGAAAATATTCCATTTTTTAATGTTTTACTCGGCCGCGTTATGCGAGCTCTTAGCTTAGTTCGCATTGGTCAACATAATTTCAATCCTAAGGGGATACGTTCGGTACCGCAACATAAGTTAGAGGTGTGGCCTGGTTACGTCACAGCTATCAGTGAATACGAAGGTGGTTTAATGCTGTGTATAGATGCAAAACATCGTGTTATGCGTACAGAAACAGTACGTGATATCATGTAAGAATTTAAAATGAGTTTTCTATGTATTATTTTAAAAAGTAACTAATTAATATTATAAAAATATTATGATGCAGGATTAATCTGGGGAACAAACCAAACTTTAGAGATGCTGTTATGAAAGAAATAGTTGGTTTGTCTGTATTTACAAGGTACAATAATAGAACTTACCGTGTCGATGATATTGCGTGGGACAAAGACCCATCGTATTCTTTTGATAAAGGAGGACAACAAATAACATTATTTGATTATTATAAACAACATTGGAATTTAAAAATACGAGATCCTAAACAACCGCTATTAGTTCATCGTGCGAAAATGAAATCGCCAACGGGTGAAGTGAGCAATATTTTTGTATAAAGATATAAATTATTAGTAAAATTTAAGTCATGACTAATTAACATTATTTATGAATTGTATACAGCCACAAGAACAGTTGATACTTTTAATTCCGGAGTTATGTTACATAGCAAGTTTAACCGATAGTATTCGTTCAGACTTCAAAGTAATGAAAGATTTAGATGTATTGACTAAAATGACACCTAACGCTCGTCGCGATGTATTTAAACATTTCGTACAAGAAGTGCAGAATAATGATATTCCAAGAGAAATATTGGCTGAATGGGGTTTACGACTGGAATCAAATTTAATTGATTTTACAGGAAGAGTTTTAGAACCTGAGGAAATAATCTTTGGTCAGAATAGGAAATTTAGACCACCAAATCATAAACCTGCAGATTGGGGTTCTGTAGTTTGTAAGAATTCTATGTTACGAAGTGTAAGTAGTTTTGCGCATGGAATTTGATAACATTGTTTTCAAAACTATTTATATTTTTAGCCAAATTTAAACCAATGGTTCGTATTATTTTCTCAAAGAGACACAAGGTGCTCACAAGAATTTGTTGATATGTTTAAAAAAGTGTCAAAGGCAATGGGAATGGTTGTCAGAGATCCACAGATTATTTGCCTGAGAGATGATAGGACGGAAACGTACCTACAAGAATTACGCAGAAATATTCAGCGTAATATAAATTTAATGGTTATTATATTTCCTACAAATCGAACTGATAGATATTCTGCTGTAAAGAGGTCAGATATTGTTTTGAAAACTTTCAAAATTATGTTTCTCTATGATAATTGAATTACTTATTGCTTAGAGTATGTTGCGTAGAAATGCCTATACCTTCTCAAGTAATTATGTCGAGAACTATCTCTCGTGGTGATAAGTTGAAAAGTATAACAGAGAAGATTGCTTTGCAAATTAATTGCAAAATAGGCGGAGCTCTTTGGGCATTGGCTATACCAATGGTACAAACAATATTTATAAATTCTTACTCAAATGAACAGAACATAAATTCTATATTTTATTCCGATAGGATAATTGTATGATATGTGGAATAGATGTGTACCATGGAGGTACTAGTCAATCAACAAGAGGAAGTGTTGCAGGTTTTGTAGCGAGTCTTGATAAGTTACTAACAACTTGGCACAGTAAAATTTGTCTACAAAGTCGTCATCAAGAGTTAGTAGACATGCTTCAAATTTGCTTGATTTCAGCGTTAAAAGCCTATTATAAGGTAATCCTTTGTTACTACTTTAACAGAATTACTGTTTCACATGCTTAATGTCTTAAATGTTTAATGTTTATATTATAGCATAATAAACGTTACCCAGACCGTATTATTGTTTACCGAGACGGTGTTGGTGACGGTCAAATCGACACTGTTGCTAAATATGAAGTGAAACAATTGTTAGCAACATTTAAAAATATAGAACCAACTTACCAGCCAACGTTAACTGTTATAGCAATTCATAAACGTATTAACACACGATTATTCGCAAAATGTGTAAGTTTATAAATGAAAAAGCAAATACAGTAAACATTGGATAATTGCAACATTGAACGGGACCGGAAGGTTGTAATTATGAGGAGATAGAACCGAATCCACCCCATGAAAGGTTTTAGCATGGCGGACGTAGAGAAAGACAGTGCAAGTGAAAAAAAAACGGAAAGACTAAGAGTCGACGCGTTCGGTAACATTAAAGACTCGCGAAAAGGACTTAAATTTTAAGACCTTTAACTCAAAAATCAAACTTTATTTTTGATTTTTAGTAAATGAAATGTTCACCGCCATGTTTGTTATGTTTTTCTGATAAAAATGATACCAAACACGATAGAATTACGATCATAATTGCTTGTATAATAAACGATTGAAGTTTCGGATATAGAAACGAACTGTGTATAAAAAAGAAAAAGACATTAAATCGTCGAGTTCAACAATAGTCGAATCGTGTTGTACCATTCAACCGTGGCTAATTGTCGAGTGCTATATTGTGTTAAAAGGAACCTGGTGGAGTATGGTGGGGATGACGATGTTGCAATTATCCAATGTTCATTGTAATTATAAATTATGCTGTTTAATCGTTCAAACGCCTTTTTTTAAATTATAGAACTCAGGTTTGGAAAATCCGCTACCGGGAACAATTGTGGATACGTGTATAACACGACCTTCTATTTACGATTTCTTTTTGGTGTCACAAAATGTACGAATGGGTACAGTCTCACCCACACGTTATATTGTTGTTTATGACAACAAAAATATGAAGGCAGAGCATATACAACGATTAACGTACAAGCTTTGCCACTTGTACTATAATTGGCCAGGCACTGTAAAAGTTCCTGCCCCTTGTCAATATGCTCATAAGCTTGTTTCTCTTGTTGGACAGAATATACAAATAGAACCACATGAAACTCTTTCTGATACGTTGTTCTACTTATAAGTTACTTTCGTTTTTGATATGATATGAAGTTGTTATTAACTCTTTCGTTATTAACTACTTAGCTCTCGAATTTAATAATTCTAATTAGACTTATTTTGATTATTTTGGAATCTATATCTTTATAATTCGCCAAACATATATTAAATGAAAATACCTCGCATAGAAAGCTAATAATTTACATACTACAATTAAGTAGCAGATGTTGCAATCTATTCATGATGAAAGTTTCATGTGTCATTTGTTTTGTACTATAACAAATTTTTTATCGCCTAATAGACCTAATTTATATTACGTAAACCTATACAAAGTCAAGATACATCTTTATATGCATATTTTGCAACAGTACTGAAGCATTTGTATATACAGGGTGAGGCACCTATCTCGATCACTTCGAATAATTACTTAACGGTACAGTTTATGAAAACGTTGAAACGTGGGATTTAAAGGTATCAGAGAGTACATCTTATAAGCTGTATTTAGCAGTGTTTAGCTGACATTGTTTATCAATATGTTACGTACTCTTACTTTGATAGAGTCGTCTACGATTTCCGTGATAGAATTACGGATAAATAACGTAGTAGAAGTATAATCATAACTAAATTGCTTATGTTAAACATTTTAATTTTTATCAAGTGTTTAGATACTCAAAATGATGGTCGAGAGAGCTGCCTCACCCTGTATAATAACATTCCTTAGGAGTATAAAGAACAACAACTTGAAGTATAAATTTATTTTCTATTTTTAGCAAGTACAAATATAAAATATTTTTATATTTATTTTGTGTTATAGGAGAAAACAGTAATCATATTATCAGTATTCCTTTAACCCTAAGAAGACGCAGGCTGTTGATTTCATAGACGGCGATGGCTAAGTCTATTCAGATCTTTACATTTATTTTTCTATTAGGTCGTGTAGTATGAAATATCGGATTTTGCAGAAAAAAGAAAACCATATTACCATGCTGCTTATTTTGCAAAAAAACATCACCGAAACGAAATTTTGTAAATCAACGCTGCATTGTTCTTTCATGCACAGTATTGCCCCAAATGCTTTGTTTATATTTCCAGCGATTTTTGCAGCATTATTTTCAAATTTGAATTCATATAAGAAAATTACGTGAATGTTGGCGATATTCATGTCTTCAAAAAATGATACAAAAAATAGTTATTATGCACAATTCGGAGACTTTTTTGCAAAAAATTACTTTGATAATCGACAATGAAACTGTTTAAGAGATTATATGAAAAACAAAGAAATAACAACAGGAGTACAAACGTTTATGAGCAAAGAAAATCCGACATTTTATATTACACGATCTAATGCTTTCAAACGCATTTCTTTGGAATGTGTTTATTTTCATGTTAACACTATAACCGTACCGGGAAACGGTCAAATAACCGAATTTAAAATGCTGCGTTTTCTTTCGTTCATTCTACTTTATATCAATTTCTATATTGTCCGATTAATCAGTTTTTCAATTTTTGTTTTTCGCTTTGTTTCTTTTTCCTGGAAGAAAATTTATCATATCTAACTTGTTTACCCTTATTTCGTAGTCAGTTATTTGACTAATCACGCTAGGAAAAGTACCGGTACAGTTAGCGTTAAAGTTAGCTATCAAAAGTTCAAAAGTTAAATGAAGTATGTCAAAAGCTGAGTAAAATAAAATAAATTTAGACGTCGCCGTTGGAGGTTTAAGATATAGTAAATTACTCGACAAATTAGATTTATTATTAATATTATTTTACACTGCCTCCAACTGTATATTTCTTAAAATTATATAAACGTAAACTCTATATTGAATA